TCGTCCCGGGGCCAGAGCAGACGAATCGTCGCATCCTCCTCCCTGCAACCTGTCACGCTGAGCAGCCGGCTTCCGATGTGCTCTGCTGCCTCCCGCCACTTATCCTGAATAAATCATTCATTCTTCAGCTTTCCATTTTCTTGGAGAAAACACTCGGAGAAGTCCAAGTCACCATCACGCTTGGCTACGTGAATGTATGATTTAAAGTGAGTAAGGGTAGCTTGGCTTCTCCTACATCCTCCCCTAATGACAGCACTTATTTGGGACACCAAATGCTGTACAGAATTGCGCTTGGTTTCACTTTATGCTCTTTCTCCAGCGCTCGTGGCCACCAGGAACCCAATCCCGATGGTGCAGCTGGGCAGGAGCTGCCAGCAGGGCCCCTCGCTTGCCCAAGACAACACGCGAGGGTCTGTGGAACAGCCCCAGGTTCCTCCTATCCACCAGCCCACGTGAGTGGGGAAAGGATGGGCTCCACAGCAGATATTTCTACCTCTGGCAGCTTCTGAAAAATGATTTATGAGCCTCTACCTCCCAAAGCATTCATTTGCTTTCCCCTCCGCTTGCTGCTCAGTGCCCAGAAAAGCTTTCATGTGCAAAAAGCATTGGCTTGGGGAAGAAAAATACAATGGCTGAGTGAAAGGAAAGTCAGCACATTGCAGAAGTGCCTCCCCGCCCTGGCTGCGAGCGAGGCCCAGGGCTTCCCGGAGGCGCTGCCCTGGTGCCAGGGACGGTGCCAGCCTCGCTTCCCGGGTGAAACGGCAGCCAACACCCCAAAAGCCATTCCCGTCTGCGGGAGGGATGAGTCGGACGATGTTTCCTGGCTTGCCCTGGCTCATGCGGGAGCCGCGGGCGGCAGATGGTGCTGGACCGCGGGGCGGGCGCGGGCAGAGAGGAGCCGCAGTGACGACAGGAGTGTCTGCGTGCGAGCCCTGCTCGTGCCGCAGGGCCAGGCGGAGGTGGCGCCCTGGAAAGCGGCGTGTTGGGCTGCACCCTGGGCATGGGAGGCCCCATCCTCACCCTTTGGGCAGGCAGAGGCCGGCAGCAAAGCCGGATCCCCTTGGCTTTGACTACCTCCCCGCATGGGTAACACGGTGGGGAGCCCTCAGTGCGCTGCAGTCTGGCCCTGGCCACCTCCTCCTCCTCTTTTTGGTGTGTGCACTTGAAAAGCCACCCGCAGAGGAGCCCGTGAGCACCTGCGCCGCACGAGGGCCCGCGCGGCTGGAGCCATCCCTGCGCGTCGCCGGGCCGGAGCCGGCCGCGGGGCCTGAGCCCCCTGCACGGCCGGGCTGCGCAGCTCGGAACCACGGAACAGTGACAGATGGAGGGGACCTCTAGAGATCCGCTCTGGCACCCACGGGAGCCGCGGGGCCTGAAAACAGCAGCCCGTCTCCACAGGATGTTCGGTAGCACCCGTGGGTGTCCAGCCCTCCAGGGTGTCCCCAGCTTTGGCAGGGGCTGGCACCGCATCCCTCCTGGGCTGTGTCTGTGCAATCTCTTTCCTGGAGCTGCTTTTCAAAGGGGAGATTTTGCCTTGATGGCAGCCGAACATCCAAAGGGAGTAGGGCACGGAGAGCAGCAGGGCGGGAGGGGCTGTGCTGGGAGCCCCCCGGCCCTGAGCGGGGTGGGCGCTGCCTGGCTCCCCTCCAGCCGGGCTCTGACGTTGGTATTTGCCGAGATGCGGGGGAGATTTTAAGCAGAAATTTGCTTCTTTAGGGCAGCTAAAAAAAGCCGCAGGTGCAGCCGGATCCTTTGAAGTGTCTGGCAGCGGGAGGGAGCTGGGAGCCGGGTGGGTGCTCCCGGCGCTGCAGGGGGGGTCGTTGCTGGAAGCGCGGGTCTCGTCCTGGCTTTGCCTCGTCCCTCCTTACGGGGAGGGGGCAGCGGGTCCAGCCTCGGCTCCCCGCGAGGCCCCGGCTGCAGATCCTCCCGGTACCGGAGCCGCCCCCCGCTCCGGCCCGGCCCGGGAAGCGCTTCCGAGCGCCGCGTCCCGGGGGAGCGGAGCCTCCGGGCCGGAGCCGCCC